TATTATTTAGTATCTATTTGGCAAAATTCATAAATCATTTATAAATGGTCAAAACTTATTTTTAATCCCATATTTTAATGGATCACAAATATTATCCAATGAACCCACATATTTTGAGATATTAATCATGATATCACTAAATGAATTAGTGACATTCAATGAAGATGGAATTAGAATGCAATATTCTGACTTTATTAATTTTGTAATTAAAGTCGATGAAGATATCAAAGTATTCATAGTTGTAGTCAAATCAGGTAATCTAGGCAAGTCATACAATACAGAAAATGGCAAAGTATAAGGTTGGAGAAATACAAAGTTAGATGCAAGGTAAACTTACGCAAATTAAGCAAGACCTCCAAAGTATGTTCAAAGTACTGTGAAGTACTTGTGCAAAAGTTGGGCTAGGACTATAGAAAGCGCTTATTCGGAGGCAATCCATTTTTTTACCTATTATATTTATTTTACTTTTAGTAATTGCTGCTTGTAGAGAGTTAGAATTACATTTAGTAGTTAGACACGTTTAATTATTATCTAATTTCATTTTTTTGTTAAGTATTCCATATTCAGGATATTAGTTATTGCATCACAAACATGCCAGATTTTCCCCCATCCCACACATACCTACATTCATATTAGCTTTAACTCCCATATGATTGTATTGGTAATTATTTCTCATTTAGTTTTTCAAGTATGATTGATGTATTTTGCAAGAAGAGCGTTGGTGATGAGACGAAGGTAAAAGTTAAAAAATAAATCTATTTGTATATATTTTTCTAATATGATTGATATATTTTATAATACATATTTTAAGATCGAAGGAGTAATAACTTCCATTATTTTTATATTTGCTAGTTTGTGTAAGTTGAATACCCTCGTCGACTAATGAATATGATTATCTAGAATTATTTATGGCTCATATTGATTTGTGATAAGGTGATGTAACATTACAATTTGATACTTGTCCATATGAGATTGTAACATTTTATGCACAATAGTCATGATTATTATCATATATTTCAGATTGGTTACGTTGATAGAACATGTTGAAATAGTTTTGAATTTTGTTGACGAATCGAGATCTTAATTAAAAACACAATCGCATAATTTATTAAAAGGATGGTTTGGGATGGTTGATCTGGTGTTGACAGCTATTGATATAGGTATGGAATCAATGGATTTCGTGCTAGTTGAATGCTTGGGCGTAGTGTTTTTGGTTAATAGGTGTAACTTAGGTGGTAAACATACACTAGGGTTTAATCTTAATTATTTGTCCAAAATAAGATTTTCACTAGCCATGCTACATAGGAAAAAATTACTTACATTGTTGTGTGAAGACTAGCATTGAGAAATCAAAATTTATTCATTACATGTTTAGGAGATGGTCTACATGTAAAGAAGGCTCCATGTAGTATAGAATAAAAACTACATTCAAAAATCAAGAAAAAGATCCTAAGACCAAAAGAAGGGACAAAAAGAAAAGAAAAGAGAACTGCCGAGTGCATTCAAGCCGTTACGAAATAGCTATAAACATTATTTCTATCTAGCTAAGCATTGAACACTTAATTCGAGATTTAGATTTGTAATATTATTAACCCAGCTGAAGCTTGGAGGTTTAGGTTGTGACATTCAAATCTAAGGAGAATCCTCACATATAGAGATAATAGCTTCCATTGGTAAATGCAAATCAAACTTGAGTAGAAAATGAATGAGCGGTGTGAAATCAACCTTAGAATAAATAATCCAAGTGAGATTAGTAATTTGGAAGTGTGCATCTCAAGAGAGAGAAATAAAATATTTTCTATTCATAGAAGTTCATGTTGATTAGATTCACTATGCAAATACACAAATTAATCGATTAGAATTCTCTTTGTCATTGTCCAACTCTAAAAAATGTGTTATCTCGTTTAAAATTAGGATTGATAGCGAATAAATTGAGTATGCATTTCCGTGACAACGATACCTTACTCTCACTTATTACTTGGTCGAGTATGGCACATTTGCATAATTTTAGCATAATAGTGTTCATCAAACAGGTGTCCTAACTATATTTTAAATGTTTTACCATGAAATAAATTAAAATGTAGCATGACAAGGCTTCGCTCACAAGAGGAAAGCAAAAAATAAAATTATTGGGGCTAGTTTAATTATGTCCCCCAGTAAGGTTTTACATCAAAAACAAACAAATAATATATTAATATAAAATTTTAATTAGATTTACATTCTTGGAACAACAAAATGCATTTGCTTCAACTTCATGAATCAAAGCATGCATCCACATCATTACATTTTCACTTCAAACTCTTAAGCCAAATAACTATATAAAGTAAAACTTCCATATACAACAACTTGGAATAATATATGCAGTCATAGTCCCATAACTTTTGAATTATATATGCGTTCTTAGTTCATTCAATATTCCAAATGGCATAGTTTGTGAACGATATTTCTCAACTAATTAACTAGTTTGATGCCAAGAACGTGTGAAAGAGGGATTGAAATTTCTCCATCTCCTTAGCAGGCAATGCAACCAAGACATTAACCCCATTCCCATTGTTGTTATTTGATCCATTATTAATTTCAGGGAACAGCAAAATGATTTCTTTTCTATGGTACACCACTGGACAACTGTACCTTGGCTTCCCCCATGGATACTCCACTTCAGAAAACCCTAATTTCCACCAAGAAGATATCAGAAACTCACCATTGGGAAACCCTTTATAGATTTCTCCCCAGTCTATTGCAGATCTTGCGTATTCATCAGTCATTCGAGCAGCCCCCTCGGACACCATGTCCACGATCTTGGAGAAGGGCTCGTCCTCGAGTTTCGAGCAGATCGACGAGGCGTAAGCACTTAGCACCGCGTTCCCGCAATAGGAAAAAGGCAATGATGGCTTTATTCTTGACCTAATATCCACTGCATAAAGAACAGTAGACACTCTTTGACTATTATCACCTGATGACAAGGCCTTGCACCGCCAGATAAGGGCTGAGACTACATTGAAGCTGGTGATCTTTGTGTTCTCATTGGGACCATCGATCTTTGCCTTCTCCTTTAAGTAACTTATGTTATCAGAGTTTAGGTGAAAAATTTTGAAATCGAGATCCTCCTGTTGACAATCAAATACTGAAGGAATTGTGTCTTCGCCGATTGGGAGCTCGAGCTTGAGCAATTCGGGGTGGGGGAACGTGACGCGTGGTGGAGATCTGGCGGCGAGGAGGTGGCGATCGTGGCATGGAACGATAGCCAACGGTTTGTCATCAAAAGCTTGGGAAGCAAGGTTTTCCAAGAAACATTTGAAGCTTATCCCATCAAATAATACATGATTGGTGGATATTCCCATTGCAAAACCACCACATTTAAATGATGTTACCTAAAAATAAATGGCAAGAAAATATATACATGTTAAATATCAACTTTTTTCTAGAGGGAAAACTAATCATAGAATGATTAGTTGTTTATAAAGCAACTCTACAAGTTATTAGTATAATTATTATTTTTTATTTGTTGGAGGTCGAATTTATTTCCTTCCCCAAGTCTTCAACACACACGATTAAGAGGATTAAAATTGTTTAAATTTAATAAATAGAATAGTTTCTAACATTTTGCTAAAAAAAAAAATATGTTTTCTACCACAGTGGCTTTACGTTTAAAAGAAAAAGAAAAAGAAAAAAAACTAAATATATTATGGTCCATTTTCAATCGAAAAGCTTTTACATGTACAAGGCTGTGATTTCATTTTATTTTTTTCCCTTTACAAATCAAATTTTGATTCTTAATTAATCACTGATCCAACTCTTGCGATCCAAGAAATTGAAACCTATATTTTAACCCGGACATTTATGAATGCTGTATATAATAAATACCGCTTTATTTTATAAATAAATATTTACTTGAAAAGAAGCAATTACTGGCTGTCTATATGGTTGAACAACTTTTGCCTTTCATTTAAGGAACTATCCTACTTTCTGCACTCATTTCTCAATAACATATGCTTCTTTCTTGCCCTAACAGCTTTGGTTCTTTCTAGCATCTGACAGGTAGTCCGCAAGGTAGTTGAATTTAATACAATCATAATTAAATTTGATTTTTTTTCTTAACTTTTTCTCTTTTTTAAAAAGGTTGAACCCCAACCTTAAGGGTCCCTATCGCCCCGCTCTTGGAATATCGTGAGAAAAGTTAATCGAAGAATGTGCTCCAGCCAGGGAACAAGAGCTGACTGTATACTAGAGCCCACAAAAAGTCTCAATCCATATTTCAAGAATCGAATCCTCACACTACGACTGTTATTAAAGTTGAGTATACCTAACCCTTGTCCTTTACACCACTGAGATATGTCCCGAAGGGCAACTTTTCCCCCTTTTTATTTGGATAGGTAGAGGGTTGCTTCTTTTTCTTTTAGGATAAGACACTAAGACACGTACAATCTAGTGATGAACTTGGTCGGATAATTATTTTTCATCGCCACCTTAATTAATTTAATTTGTGTCCTCTTTTAACGGCAACATAATGCATCATTATGCTTTCTTTTATATTGCCGGTTGGATATTAAATTTAAATAATTAAATATTTATTTCTAACAACTTAAAATTTTGTATAATATGGTTTGACATGATCTAAGAGCACAAGAAAGACCTATATCGCAATTTTATAGTCATCCATTCATTATGCACGCTTGTCTTTAATTCAAAAAATAAATCTGGCATGTATATTATTAAATTTAAATAAATATAATTTTCTCTTATTATCACATTAATTAACTTTTAGACGAAGTAATTTAATACTAAGTACCATTTACTACATATTGTATTACTAGCCAAGTTGCAAATTTTGAATAAAAAATTTCTCCAAGCTTTGGAAGATTTCATGCATTTATGTTCTATCTATGTTGCTAATAATATTTTAGTACAGTTCTTCTTGAAACCACCCATAAAAAACTTTATGTCTTCAAACTAAAATCAGAAATTTATATATATATGTCAGGATTCATCTGGTATTGACTTAAACATGTTGAATTATGTTATGTACATTTTTTTCCATGAAAATTTAAGAACTCCTTCCAATTTTGTATAATTGTCCGACAAACGACACACGACTTGGTAAGTTTATTTTCAATAAATTCAGAATCGACTAATTAAACTTTTTGCGTCACAAATTTGGTCGATGTTGTTACATGTACCAAAATATGCTATGTATTTGTCTAACCTTAGTTTTCTTAAAATTGAAATGCTATTATTATCTGTATGGAAATTAAAATGTTGGGGCAGTACCTGAAATATGCAAAGTGGTTGATTATCTGCTTCCAAGTTATCCAAGCTTTGAACAATCAGCCCCCTAAATGCTGGATTGGGATAGACTAAGTCCCCAATCTCATCAAGTGAAAACTGGGTGGAAGCCACCACGAAGCCCGCTCCAGCAGCATTACACTCCACCTCGAGCCGGCTCGACTGGGGGTTGTGTTTCAGCCTTCCGGCCACGAAATCATATGGCACCAACACTTTTTCTAGCGCAGTTTTGAGCCCGGAGGCAATAACTTCGGGTGTGAAATCCGGGTTAGCAGGGAAGAAATGAATTGTTTGGACATAGAAATTGAGAACTTGATCTATGTTGGACAAGAAAATGGATCTGTTTTCAGTTTCTTGGGATGGAAAAACTAGGGTTGAGTCTTGGAGTGTGACCTTTAGATCCTGGATGGAAGGATAAAGAGGTTCTCGGCAGAGGGTTCCCATGCTTAATTACTATATTTGTTTGATGGCTTTTGCTCTTTTGCTGACTTGGGTATTTATACTAAAATTTCAGCTTTTGGAAATGACCTTATCAGTATATATATAATGGGGCACACATTGTGGATAAGAACAATGCAAAAGTAACTTAGAAGAGATTTTTTTTTTTATTGGACAAGGCTATACGTACCGAATTTTTTTATCGAATCTTTTTCCTATTACTCACAATAGGGGTGGGGACTACATGTCGACATTTTTAAAATCACACGAGGCTCGCCATACATTGTGAGAGGGTGTAAAACATTCGGTAAGGGGTTGGATGTACAAACATCATTTTCCTTTTTTATTAGCCTCAATGCACACCACAAATGTATTTTCTGGAATTGTAAATATATAAAGTACCTAATGTATTTATACTAAAATTTCAGCTTTTGGAAATGACCTTATCAGTATATATATAATGGGGCACACATTGTGGATAAGAACAATGCAAAAGTAACTTAGAAGAGCTTTTTTTTTTAATTGGACAAGGCTATACGTACCGAATTTTTTTATCGAATCTTTTTCCTACTACTCACAATAAGGGTGGGGACTACATGTCGACATTTTTAAAATCACACGAGGCTCGCCATACATTGTGAGAGGGTGTAAAACATTCGGTAAGGGGTTGGATATACAAACATCATTTTCCTTTTTTATTAGCCTCAATGCACACCACAAATGTATTTTCTGGAATTGTAAATATATAAAGTACCTAAGAGCTCTGCGCCTCTGCCTAGCTTTTTCACGACTCTATAGAGATTTGTGCTTTTATAGAACAAATCTTCATTAATACAGCTTCTTACGAGAAGCCATCCTTTCTCTCAAAGTTACATAGTTACGACTATTAGGAGCATTTTTAAGAATCTCTTTAAACATGAGATATTTTTTATTTTAAAGAATTAATCTTTAAAACATGCTCTAAGAAACTCTTTAAATTAATATTTTTATTTAGAGAGTAGGTTCTCTAAATTGAAAAGCCAAACTCACTCTCTATAATTAAATACACTCAAAGTATTTCAATTCTCAAGTAGTAAAAAATAAGCTAATGCAGAGAAAAAATATTTAGAATAAAAGATAGAAAAAAATAATAAAATATTTTTTGTGAGTACTAAAATTAAGTTTTAAGCTTGTTTGAGTACTTTAAAATTTTAACTTTCTATATTTATAGATACTTTCCAAATAATAAAATATACTCTTTAAAAATAGAGAGACTTTTGGAGATACTTTAAGCTCCCATTTTTCTCCATTTAAAACAAAATTCTTTAATTCTCATTCTCATCTTCAACAACATAGTCATATAATAAAATATTTTACATGTAAATTCAAAACATTTTCTCCACTTTTTATCTACACATTTTTCAAAAAATCACTATTTAAAATATTATTATTATTATTATTATTATTATTATTTTTAATAATGACCAAACAGAGGTGAAGGTTAAACAATAAAACTCATAAAGTTTATATTTATAGATGGACGCAAGTTAAGCGATAAATTATTAAATGACTTACTATTTTTTTATTTTAGTTTATCAATTTGTTATTCAAAATTATTATTATTATTATTATTATTATTATTATTATTATTATTATATTTGAAAGTAATTGTTACTTTAAGCACACTATTAGAACAAATACGCATGGATATCAAAATTTATATAAAAATTAGAAGCCAAGTATATCGTGTTTTGTTTAGCAAATTAAAGATGAGACAATATTAATTTCTCAACATGAAGTCACAAACAATTTGCTTTTTAGTTTTGAACTCGTTGGATTGTCCTAACAAATTGACAGCAATATGAATTCCTGCAACTTACCAATTTCATGCAGTGAAATAGGAGAGCTTCACCAATGAATACAACAATTTAATGATTTAGAGAACCTGGGCCCGAGAATTATACTCATATAAGCAGTACAGATTTATTTTGGCTATATAAAGTAAATATATATCTGGGTTAATTTCAATTTGCCAATGAACTTTTAAGTAAATATCAATTAAACATCCAACTTTTACTAGTCACGCCTAAACTATAAGATAAGTAAATCTCTCCATACCATACAAGAGCACATCAAGACCAATAATCTAACTTCAATTTACTTTCAATGTTAGTCAGATCGTTTGCGCCACTACTAAATTTAATGTGACAATCTTTCACAAGCTATGCTACAATGACAAAGGGGGTTTACAAAGTTAGGTTATAAAATCAAATCTACACCAATCATTTCAAAAACAGATTTTTAAATCATTTGAAATCAAGAGTCCAGATTTTTGCCAACACACTTTGGCATTCCACTTTTGTACACCAGTTTGTTAGGAGTAGAATTATTCATAATGTTTCATAAATGCTATGTCCAAGGAATTATTGTTGATCTTTAAACATGATTAAAAGGCAACAACATAAGAGACATCAAATTATTGACAATTTTTAACATTCACAGAAGATTGTGACTTTAATAAAGGAGATAACGGTGTAATTAACATTTTAAATAAATTGAAGCTCGGTGATTGATTGAGACAAATTAAAGTTTAATGATTCAATTGAATTTTTTTTTCAATACCGTCACCCTTGGAATCAATAAGAAAACAAGTGCTAAATTTCAGATTAGTGAATAATCCTCAACGAAAGAAGAGACATTTACCGCTTGGCACCTAAAGCGCACTATGCTCTGCTTCAACAAATTAGGTTTCCGGTGGAATCGATGAACCACACAAGCTGGTTAGATGCACGGGATAGAGGGTTCGTAGTACTTGCTAGAGCAGCTATGCAGTGGAAGGAAAGTTAAGTACCAAAAAGGAAATCAAACCTATTTATAAGTAGGATCAAATCATTTCGAGCCTTCTTTTTTTTTTTTTTTTTTTGACAGTTTTTTTTTGTAAGTAATAACTAAAAATATTTCCTATTTTGACAAATTTTGAGTAACAAAATTTAGAAGTTTAACTAATAAAACGACCGAATTCAAGTATTAATAATTTTACAAAATTCTTATCCATTCAAACCATGAAAATATAATTTATCATCAAATTAATATTTTAAATATAAATCTCGAATTTAAATAAATTATTAAAATATTTATTGGCAGTTATAAATTAGCGAGAAAATGAGAAGAAATTACAAAAGTTAATACACTTGTGTGTGTTTCATTAAGAATTAAAACCCTACATTTATATGAAAGAATTAAAATTGTAAGGGATACAATAGTCATAGTAACCAGGGATATAGAAATACAATCAACATTCAGTAATTAATATATAATTTAAAACATTCCTCCTTAAATGACTCATTACACAATATTGGTCTGGCTAAAATCTTGTCAAGACACCCGAATAAGAAAAAACTTGAGCAGAGAGAAAAAGAGTACATGCATTCTCCCTGATTTAAATTAATGAAAATCCTCAAGTCGAGCTACCCATATCTTGCACATCTATATCTTGAATATATATCACAATTCTGGTGAAGTGTGTTCCATGTTGTCTTGTTATAGTCAAAACAATATCGTTTTCATACAAGTTATTTATTAATTTTTGTTTGATTTTAGTCCGCATGATGATTCGTTGGAAAAAGGGATTTTATTGTTGTTCTCTTTGGAAATATAATATACAATTTAAATTTATAACATATGAAAGTAAAATCATAAAATTATATTGAAGGTAATCTCCTTTAGATTATGGATATTCATTACAAAGAATATGCCTCGATAAACCTTACTAAGAAAAATCCTATGGCAAAAATTCTAATGAAAGAAAAAGAGTACCTTTTTTTTTTTTTTTTTTTTTACTCTACAAAAATTGCTTTATTAAAAACCTTGTTAGAAAAACTCAATAGGACAAAACATTAATCAAGAAAAAAAGAATACAGTGCATATTTACTCCTCTCACAAAAATATTACTTAAGTTATATATTTTTGGCATATTATAAAAACTATTAGTGATAGTTTTAATAGTCATGCCTATTAGTTGATTATAACCACATTTATTGTACACATCAAATTTTATATTTTAAAAGGATAAAAGATATAGAGTTGTGACACATCTACCACAAGATAATTGATCTATTTATACAAGTCATTGCAAAAGTTGTGTCAAGAGTCATGTATTACATATTACGACTTAATTTTTCTAATTTCCATAAATATACACTTTTATGTGTTTGGATTGCATGTTTAGAAATTTCTGATATCTCTATTAAGTTCAATTTCTTTAGGATTGCAACTTTTAATGTGGTCAATCAAATCCATCAATATATAAAGCAATGGTATATCATGTATAAAAGTGTTATCAACAACTTTTACTTTCGATCCTATTTTTTCTCATAATAACATAATTTATTAGATATCTTCATTATGTCTATATATTTTCCTCCTAAACGAACATCTTCCTCATATGTTTCCTTTTTAATGAATTTTTATCTTTAGAATCGAATGTCACAACTCTTCAAGTGAGTCATTTATATACTACAATAGTCTATCCTTCTAAGACACAAATAAAAGACGGAGCATCTATAAGTTGTATATGAGATTTTATTTCTCTCTCATAGGTTAGTAAGTGCATCTTACAATTGAGTTACCTTTTCAGATTGTCAAGTGAGAGGATATAGAATAGACAATATGTTGTATTATGTATTATTTCCAGCTACTAATATCTCTTCCTAATGTTGAAAAGGAAATTTAATGAAATTGATAGTGATCAAACCGCGTTATAAAATACTACCAAATAGTGCTTAAGATATTTTTTTAAGGGTTCAAACTAAATGTGGATTCTTAGCATTCTTTTAATATCCATCTCAGTGCGCTGTAATTGAGCAATTATAAATAAATTGCACTATAAAAAATTATTAGACAATGAATAATATTAGGCTTTGATCATAAGCCAATTATAATGAAAAGAACGTTGATATTTATATGATGCTATAAGTGTTGCTGCATGTAAAATAACATTCCCTAGGTAGGAATGAGATGTACTTTGTTCTAAATGGTAATGGTTAATAAATTAATTGAAGGCACTTTATTATCAAT